ATTTCACTGTTGATTTAATTAAGGAAGCACGGGTCACGTCTCGGTGCATCCTGGTGTCTAGTGTCTTGATCAGTTTGTGAATTAGGGTCAAGTGTCTAGTTTTGTTATTTATTAAAAAAAATTAGATGAATGAACGCTCACCTAGGGTGTGCTCCTAAAATCTAGGAAGACTATGCTGAGGATTAGGTGGATTGACTCTCACCTAGGGAGTGTGCTTAAGCTCTAAGAATGCCTACATTGAGGACTAGGTGGATGGAGTCTCACCTAGGGTGTGTGCCTAAGCTCTAGGAAGCCTACACTGAGGACTAGGTGGATGGGCTCTTACCTAGAGTATGCTCCTAAAATCTAGGAAGATTATACTGAGGATTAGGTGGATGATCTCTCACCTAAGGCGTGCTCCTAAGCTCTAAGAAGCCTACACTGAGGGCTAGGTGGATGGACTCTCACCTAGGGTGTGTGTCTAAGCTCTAGGAAGCCTACACTGAGGACTAGGTGGATGGGCTCTTACCTAGAGTATGCTCCTAAAATCTAGGAAGATTATACTGAGCTTTAACTTATGCTTAAGGTGATTTGAGGTTTTCTATATCTTCCAATTAATTAAATCAGAAATTCTCATTTTTTGACTTGATCATTTAAAAAGAAGTAAAACAAAAGAAAGATGAGGCAGACCCACTTCCAAAACTAGTAAAGTCAAGGGAGAAAACAACGAGTGGATCGACCTAAAAGCGTTTAAATAATAATCAATTGAAACCCAAAACATTGGCAAAAAGGGGTCCGTAAAACAAATTCTAAACCGCATGTAAATCAACACTTAAAGGCTACATAAGTCTTGCCAAAATAGTGCGTAGATTACCTCAAAGTCAGCCTACCAAAATGTCTTAAAACAGTGATTAAAACAACCCCGTAAATGATGGGTTTAGTGCCTCCAAAACAGTAGGTAAAGCCCCCAAAATCAGCCTCAAAATAGTAAATGAAGTTGTTAAACTCAACCCCAAAAAATAGTATGCAAAACTCTCAACAAAAATTGCCTTTTTGCAGGTGTTTGAGAACAAAACACTAAATAGAAACAATTAATGACATAGCTTGTTGTAGCATTGTAGAAATAGGCATGCCATGCCAAAACCAAGGGATGAACTGCCCAACTTTAAAATTCAATGTATTTTATAAAGTAATCACACACAATGTTGTAAATTCTCAAGAGACAAAATTTATAATGATAAATCACTGTCTAAAGAACATGTGTCATTAAAGATGCAAAGGACTAATGACATTCAATACAATTCACTAAAAAAATGAAATTTATCAAATGAGCCAATAAAATGTCACAAATTTCTTTAATCTCCAAGGAATATAGAAGCAAGCAGTGACAAACTTGAATTACTCATTAAAAAAAATGCAGATTGCAAGACTATCATGCCTTTGTCATCTGAGACAGTTCAAGACGTAATCGAAACAAAAGTTACATATGCAACCATACCTTCCAGTAGGAATAGAGGCTGAGCGAAGAGAAGTAAAAAAAATTCGGCTTTGTGTTCGTTGCAATCTCGTCACTGCCTCCTTGCTAATGTCGATCGTAGAAAATTCAATTGGGACAGCAATGGTTTAAGGCGAATCGGGATCGAGAGGGAAAGGCAGGGTCGATTAAGGGTTTCGGTGGAGGCGATGGGGAAGGCTGGGATTTCTGTTCGCAAAGGAGGCGTGTAAGGCGCAAGAGGAGCGAGAGAAGTGAGAGTCGAGTGGGGGACGATGTGCGGCTTCGGTGCGTTTGACGAGATCGAACAGAGAGCTGTCCTCTGTGGGTAAGATGCGGGAGACAGGATCGAGCGGGAGAGGAGCTTCGATCGCGAGCGGACTTCGATCGCGAGCGGGAGAGACGTTTCTTCGGTGGAGCAGAGGAGCAGAGGAGCAAGGAGCAGGTGAGCAGGCAAGTACGGGAGAGGGTCGCGCGAGAAGGTGAGGCGTATGAGCGGCAGAGGCGGGCGACGGAGATGAGACGAAAGCTTTCGGAACAGAGTCGGAATCTAACTGAAGGATGATATTTCGGTGCGTGAGGGAAGAGCCGAATGGTTGTTCGGCGTTTTGAAGGGGTGAAGGAGGCGTTCGATCGAAGAGAAGAAGAGGTGTTCGATCGAAGAGAATAAGAGGCGAGCGGGGGTTCGCTGTGCCGAGGTGAGGAGGCGAGCGGGATCGGAATGGAGAGGTGTCGTCGAGCGAGCAGGAAGCCGACGCGGGTGAGCGAGAGTGAGGGCCGGGCGAGAGGAGGGCGAGCAAGAGAGAGGAGGTGTCGAGCGCAGAGGGAGAGCGCGATCGAGCAGATGAGCAGGAGCTCGGGAGAGGCCAAGGAGGAAGATCCCGGAAGAAGAAGACGATCCTTTTAGAATTAGAGCGGGCGAGCCGAATTAATTAAAAGAGTCGTTACCTTTACCTTGGCGGGGAATTAAAAGACTTCCATTTAGGTAGTTTAGGTAGTTGATCTAAACTATTTAAAAAGTGAAAAGTTTTAACACTAAATTAAGATAAAATTAAAATGACGAATTTGAAATTTAAAAATTTAAAAATTTAAAAATTTAAAAATTATTCAAAATCTAAAAATTCAAAATCGTTTAACCCTTGTTCAGCCCGAGTCCAGCCCAAATCAAATCTGAGTTGAACCTGGGTTGAGTCCGGGCCCGCGCCCCGCTAATTAAAAAATAATAATAATAATAATAATAAGGTGCATCGATATCCGTGCTAGTCACTCGCGTCCGAAACCACGACAATGCGGGTGTCCTTCCTAGCTAAAGTCGACATCCCAGACGCGTCGGCGCGATCCATTTCGTCATCCGGGGTCATCCGGACGAGTTCACCGACGGACGAGTCGATTCAGGTCAAAGTCGTGTGTGGTGCAGTGAGTGCAGTGAGTGCGTGCGGCGTTCACAAGTAATCGAGTCACAAAGGGTTCACCTAAGGTTGTTTGATCCTATAAGAACTCATTTTCGGACCCTCTACATGTTGGTCCTTAGCCCTTGCAACTATAAGTTGAGTGCTTGGAACCACTCATGCGAGTTCTTCACCAAAATGAGTCAAGAGGTGGCTTGAAGTTCTACGGGAGGTGGGCTCCATTGCTAGTCCGCTAGGATGGTCAATAAGAACTCCTAAAGCTAGATCCTAGGTTCTAAGAGTAGGAGACTAAAACCTCACTAAAAATGAGGTCAACACCTTGATACTATAAACCTATGCATAAAAATATCCATTTGACATTTAAAGGTTAGTAAAAGTGGTATTCTTGATGTGATGTTAAAGACTTGAATGTTATGAATATAAATACTAAATTTTAGGCATTAGATATGTAAATATAGAAGAATTGTGTGGTATGTATGTAATTACCCCAAACAAAAAACCACGAGGATTCTCACCTGCTCACCAACAGCACCAAGTACCGGTACAAGGCTGACATGAACCAGGCAGAAGTTTTCTTTTCCTAATACCAAATTTAAAACATAAGTTAATAAATCGTGATTTTGTAACAACAGCAAAAATATGCTTATAAATTAGATGTTGATTATTTTGTGCCTAAAATGATATTAGTAGCCTCATTAAAAAACCCAAAATATTACAAATATTTTCTATATTATTATATTTTTCTTCTATAGTGTGACTGTGATATGTAATCTCTCTTTCACAATACGAAATAAAAAACCTCACAGTTGAAAGAGTAACAGTTAACATGTTATATGGAAATTTCATCATGTTGGACAATTCATTAATTTTTTTATGGATAACTGTAATTATTGAACAACAATACAAATTTCATTAATTTTGCCTCAAAAGCATTAATGAAATAAACAATTTCATGAATTATGTCAATCACACATCATATACTTTTGATTTCATCCCTCACTAGTAAATTCAGCATATGTCCACACCAACGAATATGAAATAACTTTCCACAAAATATTTTTTTTCTAACCTGGAAGTTATCCTTCAACAACTTTATTACACGATCATTACTTGAAATATTATTAAGTTACATAATGAATATTTTATTCCCGAGTTCCTACTCACTAAAGACTTTATAAAAAGATTCAACAATTTTAGGAGTTGCATGAGGAGGCAGATGTAAAAAAATTAAAATATACTTTTAAATTTTCCTACTCAAATCCACATAATGTGCAGTGCATCAAATAAGACATTTTCTAGATCCTCGATTTTCACAGATTTGTAATAAAACATATTATTATATGTATACTTTTCAATGTGTTCTTCAATTTTTCTCTTTTTCATATATTAACATCAAACAAGCAGAAATGTTTTTAAATACTTCAAAAAATAAAGCGACATGAATTTCACAATTAAATTAAATCTAAATTACTTCACAACTGAGAAAGATTTTCATTAATCAATATAAAGTGTGTGTCGAGATGTGTCCAAGATGGAAATAAGGTTGGAAGAATTGATTCTAATTCCCTTAATTAAGAGAATTAGAATTAATTGGTAATCCCTTAAATTGAGGGAAATAGAATTAATTTGTAATCCCTGAAATTAAGCGAATTAGTGAAATAGTTTCCTAGTTTTTTCTACTTGTAATCTTCTATATAATACATTGTATTATCAATTCTTGTATTATCATACATTGTATTATCAATTCAAAGAAGTAAGTGAAATACATAATTATTTCTCTGATTTCCAACATGGTATCAAAGTCAGGGCTCAAACCCTAGAGGACACCGCCGCCTGTTTCCCACATGGTATCATAATTATTTCTCTGATTTCCGCTAACATTCGACTCTCCTCCGCTATTCGCCTCTAGGGTTGCTTGCAGTCATTTGATTCTTTTCTGCTGCTCACGAGGAAGATCGTCAAGAAGCGCGTAAAGAAGCAGATCTTGGGGATTCTTTTGCCGCTAACCCGCTGAATCCTTTACTGTTGAGTCGCTTATTTGCTGCTTCTGAGCCGCTGATTCTTTTATTCGCTGCCTTAATTGCTGCGATTCTTTTACCACTGCAGCCGTTGATTCCAGGCTTAATTGTTGTGAATTCCTCTTCTACACCATGTCAATGTCTGAAACCATTGTCTCCAGCAATTCCAACCCTTCCGAAGAATCCAATGTTGTTCAGAAAATTGGAGAGTTGCAGAATATTCGGGCATCCAACAGGTTCAATGGGAACAACTATCTCAAATGGTCCCAAATTGTCCGCACATACCTAAAGGGCAAATGGAGGCTTAATCACCTACTTGGAACCGGACCAAAAAAAAGGGACCCAGCCTCTACAGCATGGGAAGAGGAGGATTCCATGATTATGTCCTGGCTATGGGATTCCATGGACCCAACGATCAGTGACACTTGCATGTTCTTGAATACCGCAAAGGAAATCTGGGACTATATCAACCGCACATACTTGAAGGCCCGTGATGCTGCCCTTGTGTATGAAATCGAGGCAAAAATCGGAGCCACCAAACAATGAGACAAATCTGTCACAGAGTATGCAACTCTGTTGCAAAATTTTTGGTAGGAACTGGATCATTATCGAGTAATTGAGATGAAATGCCCCGATGATGCTGCCATTTTGAAGAAGTTCATTGAGAATGATCGGATATATGATTTTTTGGCAGGATTTTGGCAGGAATTTGATCAGGTTAGGATCTAAATCCTCGGCAAGGGTTAGGCTCGACCCCCGGGGAAGGGAGGATACACCGTCTCTAGAAGAGACAATCTCATTAATCTAAGCAGAAGAAAGTCGGAGTGTCATGCTTGAACCACATACTATGGATGGGTCAGCCTTAGCAGCAAAACCTTAGGATGGGTCAGCCTTAGCAGCAAAAACAAATCAGGAGAAGTCAAAGAATGATCTGCTTAAACACTCGGGTAGAGATAACCAAGGGAAGGAGAACAAAGACGATCTGTGGTGTACTTATTGCAAGAAACTAAGGCATAATGGGAGACGGAAGTTGAATGGTAAACCTCCAAGCCGAGAATGGGGCAACCGTTGGGGGCAACAAAGGCCTCAAGCGCATATGGCAGAGCAGGAGCAGCCCAATATTGAGGAAAATTCAGCAATATGGATGTTCAACAGTGCAGAAATTGAGAAGTTGAGAAGCTTATTGGGATCTCTTGAGAAGTCTTCTGGAGCATGTTCGATAGATCTTTCAGGTAAAACTGTTTGCATGAATGTCTTAGACAAATTTTATACCAACTCTTGGATCATAGACTCTGGTGCTACTGACCATATGACCCCCACATCTCAACTCTTCCACACATATACCCCATGTCCAAGTAATAGAAAAATTGTCATGGTCAATGGCTCTTTAGCTGCCGTTGCAGAGATTGAAGATATACATATCACACCAAAAACGTTCTTCATGTACCCAAACTGTCAACAAGTCTTGTGTCCAACAAGCCTTGTGTCCATTCAAAAATTGACTCATGATCTCAAATGTTATGTTGTTTTTTTCTCTTCTTATTGTGTTTTCCAGGAACATGACTCGAGGAGGAGGATTGGACTTACTAAGGAAAGGAGCGATCTTTACCACCTTGAACCATCCCAGAAAATTAGGAGCAATTTATCTTCATCTTTCCTTAGTTCCTCGAACAAAGATGTCATTTGGCTGTATCACTTACGTCTTGGTCATCCCTCTTTTGGGGTTCTAAATATAATGTTTCCTCATTTATTCCAATGATTAGATATTTCTGAGTTTCATTGTGACACTTGTGAATTGATAAAATATACCCGTGTATCTTTTCCTATTAGCAATAAAAGAAGCTCTCATCCTTTTCACTGATTCATAGTGACATATGGGGTCCTTCCACTATACCTAATGTTTCTGGGGCTCGTTGGTTTGTATC